AGCCTCAGTTTCTCCACAAGAACAGAAGTCCTCAGACACCTCCTCCTCGCATATCCAAGTCTGCTGTGGGCTGCGGACGGACGAGTGCTTGGGTCTACTCTCCAAACCAAGGAACCTCTGGGTTCAAGAGTGTTTGGGAAGAAACCTGAGTTTAGCAGAGACAAAGGCATTGACAGAAACATCTGGATGTTTGGTATTGTCTTTGATAAAAAATAAAGGGGTAGGAAAAACCTCTTGCTGACCTATCATCTTGCCCTGAAACTTCTCTTTTTAATCAAATGAATCAGTGTAAGGCTGAGACCCGAAAGGAAAGCCACCCCTAATTTTGCCAAGTTCTACAGTAGTTTAATCCAGGTCAAATTAGCCAGACTGCCCATCCTCCCTGGTACAGGTCAATACATACTGCCTGCCAGCTGGCACGCCAGTGTAGAAACTCTGGGAGCAACGGGAAGAGCACATCAGCAAACAATTACATCTTTACAAAGACCAAGGCTCAGAAAGTACTAAGGATCAAGTACCCAACTACCCCAAGTTACTTGACACAGCCAGAGTGCAAACCACACCACCTATTATTATTTTTTTAATCTTCACCTGAGGATATTTTTTCCATTAATTTTTTTTAGAGTGGACGGGGGAGGGGCAGTGAGAGACATTGATGTGACACACATCAATTGGTTGCTTCCTGCACGCACCCCAACTGGGGCTGAGGGTCGAACCTGCAACTGACGTACATGCCCTTGACTGGGAATCGAATCCATGACCCTTCGGTCTGAGGGCCAACGCTCTAACCACTGAGAAAACTGGCCAGGGCACAACGCCACCTATTATTGAGATGACAGTCACTCCAATATTATAATATTGTTTAAATTGAGCTTGCTGAGTGTCTAATGTAACACCTGGGAAGCTGAAGAAAATTTGGAAAGTCTGGTCTTTAATCATCGAACATTTACTGAGAGTATGATTTTATTTTTTTTACTTTTTTAAAAAATATGTCTTTATTGATTTTAGAGAGAGGAAAGGAGGAGATAGATAGATAGAAACATCAATGATGAGAGACCCGGGCATGTGCCCTGACCAGGAATCAAACCCCGAGCACCTGGATCCTAGGTCGACGCTCAACCGCTGAGCTAAGCCCAGCCGGGCGAGAGTATGATTTTAGATCGCAGTTTTTTTCTGAACACAAAAGTAAGTTTAAAAGTCATCTGTGGAAGTAGTGTTCCAAGTCTTCGAAGTTCTGCACCAAGTACAGCCCTGGCTGCTGTATCAAGTCCATCCTGCTCGAGGGAAAGCCAACAAAGCAAGGCCTTGTCCTTTCAAAGGGGCTAGGGACCTCAGAGGACAGGCTGGTCCACAGAATAGCAGCCTTCCACATAATTCATCCCCATGTTCGAGAAGCTGTCAAGAAAGGCATGAATTGCCTTTTGAAAACCTCATAAATGCTACTTCAGTTACTGCCAGATTCGCTTTGTAAAATTTATTTTTGCTATTTTGCTAACCTAGAAGGCTCAAGAAATATGGGGAAAACTAGACACGTTCCCTTCTGTTCCTCCTCAGTCTTTGTATTTCTAGTAACCCAGTGACTTAGGGACTAAGTTAACTTTAAAGTAGATCTTACCATCCATCCCTCACAATCACACTTTTGCCTCCGCTTCACTGCTGTTCCAACCCTGCGCATTTGGATTTCTGTTCACCCATTAAAAGCACTGACTAAGCATTTAACGATGCAGATGCTGTGAACCCAATAATCATGCATGTACCTTAGGAGTGATCTAACGGAAAGAGGCTCGAGTTACCCGGGAATTACAGGTCTTGGTAGGCCCCACGGGAGGACCGTCCCAGCGTCCTACAGGATCTCCCATAGGGGCACCTCACCCAGCCCCGGGAGGGTAAAATGCGTGAGGGCATGAGCTGTGTGTCTATCCAGAGACCCCTGCCAGACACATCATATGCAAAAGTCCTGAGGCAGGAGATGACAGCAGGAGGTCTGCACTTAGGGGAAGATGCTCAGAGACTGACATAAACCAGCACCTCCCCCATGCCCCACAGCACGCAGGTCTCCTGGAACAGGCCACTGCCCCACCCCGTCAGGCACAGGGGCTATACACCTCACCTGCAGCCACCCAGAGCACCTCGTAGGTAAGTTTCCCTTAATAAGCTCTGCTAGTTGCCAGACTGGAGTGGCCGCTTTCTTGGTCTTTCCATGCCCTCCATTTACAGAGGCAGATTTCCCTGGGTCTCTGAGTACCACGTTTTCTTGCCACCAGTGAGCATCACTGTCTATGTCACATTCCTAAGGATAACCCCCCACCAGCAACAGCATCAAAACCTGGGAACATGTGAAGAGCTGAATGAGCCTGTTCCTGGCCCAGGCCTGGTGCCCAGAAATCTGCTTTAACAAGCCTTCCAGGTGGTTCTGATACATGCCGAGATTGGAAAGCCACTAATACACGAATCCTCACCTGCCGACACTCAAGCAGGGGTCCTTAATCCAAATCTGTGAACCCCCTGAAGTCAAAGGCAAATGTGCATATTCCTGGGGAGAAGCTGCACAGCTGTCAACATCCTCAGAGATGCTGTGACCCAGAAACACTTGCATACCACAACTTTGAGTCCCCAAATTGAGTAGAATTCACTTCTGCAAATAAACACCAAGCCAAAATTTTCTCCAAGCCCTTTAATATTCACTTAAACAGTTGAGCCACAAACAATCATAAAACTGTATTTACGTTACAAGAAAATGTTGTATGATATCTGCATGATATACCAATTACCTCAAAATCTCTTCTGCAGTAACATTTCATTAACACTCTGGTCCATAAGCTGCTTCAACACAGACAAAAAGGCAGGTCGACTGCCTGCTTGCCTACTATGCACACTGTACTAGGTTTTACATGTTAGGTGTGAACAAAACTCCTAGTTAACTGTTAATAGAACAGCACTGCTACTACCAGGTAAGCCCATGTTTTAAATGTTCTTTCACTTTAAGTGCAAATTGTGGAAGCAAACAACAGATCTCTGCCCAAAGCAGCATGCCGATGTGCACTTATTTCCAATTCCAAAGATTTTACACACATGTGCAACATGAGCACATGGGGCACTCCAGCAGTTACCACTCTGCTTCAAAATTGAGCTGAGCACCACTTGGCCAGCTTTAACGTGATGGCCCTGTTCCAGGAAACTGCTTGGCAACTACGTGTTCAGGGAAGGGAAAGTTGTTTTTTTCACACCCAACACAGCTAGCTTTCAAAAGTGGTACCTACTTTTATTTTTAATATATTTTATCGATTTCAGAGACAGGAAGGGAGACGGAAAGAGAGAAACATCAGTGATGAGTCATTGATCGGCTGCCTCCTGCACACCCCCTGCTGGGGATAGAGCCTGAAACCTGGGCATGTACCCTGACGAATCGAACCGCAATCTCCTGGGGATCATCGGTTGATGCTCAACCTGTGAGCCACGCCGGGCTGGTGGTACCTACTTTTAAAGCACCAAAGCTGTCATTTAAATAAAATGCACTTGGCTGAAGCAGCTCTAAAGTGAAGACACCACTGCATTATATCAAAGCCAATTATTTTTTTCAGAAAGCGGAGTAAGCTCAGCTCCAACGCACTGCAGTTCTCCGGGCATATCCTTCATACCCTCCCAAATCTAAGTTGACCCCTCAGCCCTCCAGCCAATCCTATTTCTGGGCCTGTTCTCTTGCTATTTTTCCCCACCTATATTCCCTCTGACTGTATGTTCATTCTCTTCCCTTGCACAGCCCCTGTTCTGAACACTCTTTTGTCTGGGCGGGTACAGGATAGACGACTTTCCAATCACTGACCAATCACCGCCCTGCTTTGGATAAGGGGTCCTACTGTTTGTACTGGTCAACCCCCGCCTCCCCCCAAGCATGCTGGGTGTAATAAAAAAAGAACGCTGCTTAACGTTCAGGATCACAAACCTAGAAGGTACCTGGGGAAGAGTCACTGAATGTGTGAATCACCTAGTTCTAATTTTACAGATGAAAATACTAAAGTTCAGAGATGCAACGTGACTTGCCCAAGGCTGTGAATATGACTCTTGAAAGACAGAAACTAGAACCACATTCCAAACTCTCCACTATACTGCAGCCACCACAAAACCCGAGGTTAAGGTAAAGAAATGTCTGTAAGTAAAACAAAGTAAAAAGCCTAGTACACATAGGAAAAGACTTTGGGATCTCTCCACAGATTTTTAGACAGAATAAAGGCAACCTATATCGTGAGAAACGCTGTCCAGTTCAACAGATGTCCGATCCTTATTAGTACCAAAGATCCTAACTCTCAGTTCTGATACTGAATCTGTGACTGCAGATGTCACTGTTTTGAAAAGAAGAGGCCCCATTACCTCCCATCTTTGCAAGTCTCCAGCCATAGGAGACAGCTTATTCTCATCGTAACAAGATAAACGAACCAGATTAAAGGATTAAGGAGTTACATTAGATAAAAGGAAAGGAATATTTTTACAAGCATATCATCTCAGTTACCTTAAAGGTGAAGTTTCAGATTAATTTACAAGAGCAGTGACAAAACCACATGATTTCAGTGAAAATCAACACCTTAAAAAAAATTTTTTTTTTTTCATAAATACTGTCAGGCAAGCATGCAAAATTCAGAGAGAAAAAAAAAGGCAAGGCTTGACTGCCCCTCAGAGAAGGTTGGACTTCATGATGCTGAACACAACCAGATGAATGAGAAGCTGAAAGGAAAACTCTGAATCAGCAGACCGGCTCCCTCATTTCATAAATGAGGAAAGTGGGTAGGCACTGCTAACTGGAGCAGCTCGACAGCTAGATTAGGGTACACACAGATCTAGTTCCCAGTGCTATCCGCAACTACGTGTATCTAAAATACCAGGAGATAAATATCCAGAGCACATTAAGCCACTGACTTAAACAAAACATTTCAAGACCGATACACTAGGTGGGTGAAGCTGTCAATATAGCACATCTCACATTTAAGAGATTAAATGCAAAGGAATAATCTCAAAGAGTTTAATATCCAGTTTTGATAACACAATCACATTTCCATCCAATTTTCTGATGTGCACCAAAATGTACTAGTTTAAAAACGTGCATTCTTCAGCCTTCCCCTACTTTTTTTTGCCTTTCAAAACTGAGCACTAGATATCTTTTATGTACATAATATGATGTTATATGTCCATTTTAATTACGTTTTAGGAATAAACAAAATCCATGATATTTCGGTAACTCATAGTGTATTTATAAAATGAAAAGCTCTCTATCAAAATACACTCTTCACTGGGAAAAATAAATAAAAGACAAACCGATCTACACAAAGTAAAAATTAACTCTGGCAGATTCGGTGCAGGACAGTCAGTCCACAGCAAGCATATTTGCCCTTATTCCCCCAGAGCTGTTCATCTTCCAAGTTAAGATTTTAAAAATATTTTTAATTGAGATTATTATGTTGACATTTGTTTCTCATTCCACATCATCTTCAGCCAAGCTCTGAGCACTTACAATTCTCTGAAAGAAGAAAAAAAATTTTTAAGTCTTACAAAGTATAAGCACTTAATCAGGTTTCTAAGTTAAACAAAAATGCCCTTTGTGTTCAAAGAAATCTCGCTAAAGCTTACCCATTCTGAGATTTATGCAACATTAACCCTTTATACATTATCACCTAAGAAAACAATGACTACTGTCAGTCTCATCTCAAAATTCAAATGAATGGAGGCATACCATCTGTATTGTGCTACATGTTAGCTAATTACATAACTGAACCCAATGTATTCAAGACCTCTTTTTACTCCTACGTAAACTAAAAATACTGACTAGTGCTAAGAATACTCATCATTTTATGCTCCTAACATTTCCCTTTCTGGCCTGGAAATGTTCAAAATCCTTATATAAAGGATTACAGTATTCTCAAATTAGTATTTTGAAACCATTTCCAGATAACATGAGACAAGTTAACTGAGTAAAAAAAGTCCTCTTTATCGAAAGCAATTCAGGCTTCATCCCGAGTCCGTCCATATTTCAAGATATTACCCTCTGGTCAATTTCCCAGAAGCTCTATGCTATGCTGCTTTTCGAAGTGCAAATAATGTTAAGTAGCGGGTTCCGAAAGACTGGGAAACCATGTCAGTCTAATAAACAGGAGTAAAACCGAGTCCTTGACTCTTCAACCCCCACCCCTAAATCTTTGGGAACTGCCTCTCCTTTAGTCCCTTCCTAATCCAATGAGGTAAAGATCAGTTTGAAGAATTAATCAGTTATTTTACTAATTTTTAATCACACCAAATGTGAAAATGACATGTAATAGTCATGCTATTCCAAAAAGCAGATTCACTTGGGCTACTGGGGAAGGATTAAAAACGAACAGAACACATTTTACGTAACCCTTAAGTTACGGATCATCGTGTATACAAATGGTATTTTGCCCTATTCAATGGAGATTTGGGGATGTAGTCAAATAACTCCAAACTCAAAGCCCACCCTGGCAGAAGCGAGGCACTGGGACCTTTAGACGTGAGGTCAGAGGTGGCGCAGAATCCTTTATGCCCCAATTTCCAGACTATGCCATTTTGGCTCCTCTGTCCTCTGCCATGCCGCTGCCCTCAACACACGGTCGCACAGAAGAGAAGGCAGGAAGCTAGTTTAACGAAGTAGCTGAGAGTGCCCTGAAATCTGGGATTTGAATGCTGTAGCCTGAGACTTAACTCTAAGAGACACACTTCCTGGTCCACATCTAGAGCACAGTCAACTTGGATGTTTTTCCACTAGGGAAGAAAGTTTCAAGCACTGTTATCTCGAGTACTATTTTCACTATATGGATGAGTTTCAGGATTGCACCATTTCACTAGGCTCATTTTTAAATGCCAATGTCCCTAAACATTTAATTCCCAGATTCTACTTTTATTTCACAACCTTTCAAATCCTTACCTGACTAATTGTTGGAAGCTTAGTCAGAAGCATCTGGAACACTGGTGGTGGAAGAGTTTGCTGTAACACTTGCAGTAACTGCTGCGGCTGTCCACACACTGCAATTGCATTGGTCAGATGATCTACGCCCTTCTCATATTCACCTGGAAGAGTGACATAAAAATAACACATGACCTGAAAAGCCTCTGCCTTTGTTAAGAGTTCAACTCTAAATAGTCTTCACTGTATCTCTAAGTGATACCGGCCAAAAACATCATGCAAGCAAAAACTTAGAAATAACCCAAAGTACACTCATGTAACTATTAGGAAGCTATTAACAAGGATAAGTGGGCCTAGCCGGGCGTGGCCCAGTGGTTGAGCGTCAGCCTAGGATCCAGGAGATCCTGGTTCGATTCCTGGTCAGGGCACATGCCCAAGTTGTGGGCTCGATCCCCAGTGGGGGCGTACAGGAGGCAGCAGATCAATGACTCTCTCATCATTGATGTTTCTATTTCTCTCTCTCCTTTCCTCTCTCTGAAATCAAAAAAGTTGTAACAAAATAACAAAAAGGATAAGTGGGATTATACACGGATATAAAGCATCTCCAACACACATACGAAAGGGGGGAAATTAAGGTGCAGAAAGGTCAAAGTTTATTACTATTTATATATTCAGAATACGTCTGAAAGACTGCATTAGAAATTGCTAACAATTTTTAATGCACATTATTAAAAATCTTGTATTGGAAATTTTTAAAATTAAGACTATTTTTTTAAAGAGCAGTTTAAGGTTCACAGTAAAATTAAGGGAAAAGCTCTGGCCAGGTGGCTCAGTTGGTTAGTGTTGTCCCGACATGCCAAGGTTGCAGGTTCCATCCCTGGTCAGGGCACACAGAAGCATCAACCAATGATGCATAAATAATTGGAACAAATCAATGTTTCTCTCTCTCTAAAATCAATAAATAAGAATTCAATTAAAGGGAAAGTAAAGAGATTTTCTTAAAAAAAAAAAGAGAACTCTACAAAGAAGCATTACAAATGGACAATCGGAAATAAAAGGCTCTGGTTTTTTGCATGGGCTCGGATTTCCATCAAGAGACTCAACAAGGGCTCCACTGACTCGAGTGTTCACTTGATCATGGAATACTCCCGTGAGCCACTGAATTTATAGGCAATAAAGGGGAAGGGAAATGCTGCCTGGGACATTCAACATTTTCACAGTATAAATAGACATCTTTATGAGTACGAAGAACAAAATTTACTTGAGAATTTATTTGCATGAGTTGAAACATTACAATTTGTATCTTTAGACAGAGATTTAAATGAGAATAGATATTAAATGGAAACAGCTAGTAGAGGTATTCGGAACACAGGGGATCACCAGAGACACTTCCTAGTACTTCAAAATACACTGGAAACAGTTTGTGAAAACCACAGCAACTCAGTGTAGGTGAAACCATTTCCTCTCTGCACTTGTAACTTGATCCCAGTCACATAGCCTGAGATGAGATCTTACTCAGTTAATGGAATATACTTATCGAAGACGCCTGGATGAAGGAGACCTTGTCAAGCAATGAAGTTCCCTGCGCAAATTGCTTATGCTTTCACCTGGCTTACTTAGAGACTGACCTTTACCCTAATTCTCACCACTGAGTCTTCTACCTCTGGCTGGCTTGGGAGTTTTCACCAGAAGAAAGGAAGCTTGGCGGCTGAGCTGTTAAGTAATTCCTTGGGTATGTTGGCTTGAAGTGTGGAATATGAACTTGGAAAAAAGAGCAACTCTTCCATGTCCGTACTTAACCTGCCCTCATCACCACAGGTAACTAACTGTCCTTCTCAATCTGGATCTAACAGCTCAAATCAGATAGACAGATGATCATAGCGCATGATTCTCCAAGATAATCCAAAAATAAGTAATTAGGAGTACATTATATTCTAACATCTTAATATTAGTAAATTAATTTAAAATAATGTTTATATTTGGGGGCAGAAAATTTTGATATTATAAACAGACACCTTTGTGAGCACAAAGAACAGCATTTGTTTGAGAATGTCTGCAGGAATTGCAATATTACAATCTACAGCCGTAGACAAAGATTATCAATCAACTACACATGCTGAATTTTCTTCTTAGATATTAAAGTAATACAATTATAGCCTTGCAAATGATCCTTTTGAGGATTTCGGTGCCCTATGATTGAACTTCACATTTTTCTTATTTATATTGGGAGACACATAATTATTTTCTAGTAAAGCATTTCCATTTTTATTTATAAGCATTATCAGCCTACTACACCACCCAAATAAAAGACAATTACTTCCTCAAAAGAGAAAATAATGAGAACGATACGATGAAAAGTGAAGATGGTCATCACCATCTTAAACCTTTAATATCTTCTCATAAAAGAAACAAAAACCCAAATACCCCTGTCATGTAATACAATAGTCTATATCTATTATGATAAATAAGAAAAACTTGACCCTTTTAAAATTAATGATAGCAACTACTTCCAAGCTACTTTTGAGGCAAGAGCTTATTTGACACTAAAAATATTTATAAATACAGTTAAGACAAAATTACTGAATTACAGCTCTCAAATTTTTCAATTTGATCATTTTAATTTCATAACAGGATTTTTTAACATATTGTACAATGACTATGAACTACTAATCTACTAAAAACTACTTAAAAGTAGCCTTATTTGTAAAGATTATTTGTCTTTCCTATATCAAGTAAACTTAAAACTCACTCAAAATATATTATGGACAACGATAATCCATACGAAACATTAATTTCTAGAGCCAGTCTTTAAATAACACAATCCTTACACTATTAAATGCCTAAAAGCTTGTTTTGAAATACAGTCATGCACTGTTTAATGATGGGGATGCATTCTGAGAAATACGTAGTTAAGCAATTTCACCGCTGTGCAAACATCAGAGTGCACTTACTTACACACACCTAGATGGTCTAGCCTACTACACCTCCTATGCGACAAGCCTGTACAACATGCTACTGTACTGAATACTGCAGGCAACTGTAACAGTGGTATTTGTGTATCTAAGTATAGAAAGGTACTGTAATTTTATACCAGTAGGCAACTGTAACCGTGGTAAGTATTTCTGCATCTAAACATAGAAAGGTACTGTAATTTTATACAACTGGCAGCGAAGTAGGTTTTGTAGGGGAGAAAAACAAACAAGTTTAATTACATGGATACCTCCTGTATACCTGAGACACCCAGGAAAACTGAGACCCTCACCAAAGTGGCTGAAGCCACCACCTTAAATATTAACTACCCTCTTCAGCAGAAGACAAAAGATGATGGAGGTAGGGGAGTAAGGTATGGGAGGTGACCAGGAAAAGCACAGTAAACAAGGGTAAGATTGTTCTAGACTTAAATCACCGTCTTCTGCATTAATAAGTGTTTCTAGAGATAAGGTCACCTCCCCTTCCCAGTTCAGGGAGGGAGACACAATCTCCTTACAAAGGAAGATTTCCCTTACAAATGCAAATGTTTCTTACAAAGGGCAATTTCTTGTTGGTTTTCAGACCTTCTCCCATGCCTGTGTCTCTTAAAATGACCCAGCATAATCCTTAAACCAAAAGAGACAATGCAGGGGTGACAAATGCTGTTCCCTACAGTTTACACCCGGCATGTGAGTGATGTGTTGCACTACATAATGACATTGCACCGGCTACAAAGCCACTAGGCAACAGGAATTTTTGAGCTCCATTATAATCTTATGGGGCCAGTGTTGCATACACGGTCCATCCTTAGCCGAAAGATCATTAATACAATGACAGAAGAATGAATAACTTTTAAGAAACAGCTGTACTGAAACTGGGCCTAACATTGACACCAGACCCTCAAATAGTTTTTTCCCCAGATTTTAGGAGATAACAGCAGGCTTCCTTCACAGTGCCCCTGAGACCACTAGCCCAAGCTGATCACACTGGTCCCAGGGGCTCTCCCAGGCTCAGATAGCCTACAAATGGATCCAAATGACCCTGCCAGGTGGCCAGAACCAACACTTGTCTCTGGAAGAACCTGTGTGCAGGCCCAGTCTTCACGGACAGTATTCAGAGCGAGGGGTGCTGGGCACCTAGATCCCACACAACCGACCCAGTCAACTGGAATTCCTTTATGCTCTCGCTCACCTTCCCAATTCCTACCTTAGATGGTTTGGTTCCAAGACTGTCCACTCCAGACTCCCTAATTAGCTGCATAAATATGTATGGTTTCTCCTTACCCTCACCCTCTAAACTCACTCCAAGCCTTTCCTGGAAAAAATTGATCTGACCCTTGTCCGGTCTTATTTGGCTGCTTGAGGTATAACCTTTTTCTCAACAGACCCATCCACCAAAAAAGCCCCTCGTGACCATAAATTTCTATCAGTGTGAAGAATTCTACCTCCTTTTCTAGTCTTTTAATGACTACTCAAATAAAGAAACATCAGCCCCAAATGGCATCATTTGCACTAAAAGCCCATGATGCCAAACCCAGATTTAGTACCTCATCTAATTACAGTTTCAATGTCTCCCATAAACATAATCTTAATGAACCAGCCTCAAATTTTCTGGTCAAGAACCAATAAGGCGATCTGTCATGTAGGCCCTTCTCTATCCCCGACAGAGAGAGAATAGGCAATCTACATGATAAAAAAAACCTCCCCTTTTCTCTTCCCCCAAAGAAAAGATGTCCCCAATATAATCCTTTCTTTTCTTTCATCAGTTGCTCTCTGCTTCCTATAAAAATCTTCCATTTTGTACAACCCCGTGCAGGGAGCTGCTAGATGGGATGCTGCCCATTTATAAACTGCTTAATAAAGCCACTTAGATCTTCAAATTTACCTGGTTGAATTGTTTTTTACATGACTATTACCTTGGGCTAGTAGCTCTTCACCCAGCTGTATTTCTTCAAGAAAGAATTTCTGAACAGCTTCAGCATCTTTAAGGTCAGGTAACTGTTTGGAAGTAGAATATTTAATAACTGGTAACAAAATTATGTCAGGGGACACAACTAATACACAGAAAATCATACCACTAAAAACAAACCAAAAACTGAAATTTATTTTTCAACAGCACCCACAAGGGTAAGTTTATTATCTACACTGAAATGAATGTAAGAAAAAAATACTTATGGATCAAACTGGTATTTGAACAGTTCTTAGAAAGCTCGGTCAAACCTAAAGTAAAAAAAATACAAATATTGCTACCATAAAATACGCATAATACCATTTTATGATCACCGTTATGGATTTTTATGTAGTGTAATCAATTTGTTCTATTCCAACACTATTTTATATAGATTTTACATGTATCTAAAAGATGATAATTATTCTTAGATGGGAATAGAATATACCACTGAAGACTATATAATTGCATAATCATTATGTATTTGTTGGGCATTTGAGGCACTTCCAATTTTTTTGCTATTACAATTACAATCAGCTTTATTTAAATAAGTTTGTTACACATTACCAAACGGAATGATTATGGTAATATATAATGCCACCAGCTATTTGGCTTGTCTTTTTAACATGGGTAAAAAAAAATTACATTTTTGAAAGTGAAGGCATCTCTCATTAACTATCCCAGCATACAGAAAGAATTTGATCATACCTGAATCTAAAAATACACACTGATGCATATATCTTTAATATATCTATTTTCCTATATCCTTAAAAAGACTACTGAAAACGTAATGAAAACATTTCAGAAAGGTAGTTTGGACACAATAGAACAACTAAGTGGTTGTCTCCCAGCTTCGCTTCACTATTATCACATCCAGTTTGCTGTGTTGATTACTCAATTGTTTCAAAATAACAAAATGTAACATTTACAGATTTATTTTTTTCCTTGCCTCAACTTGCATCAAAAAGAACCACTACTGATCCAGTAGTCCAAGTCCTGTGAATCCAGACAATGGAACTAATTTCAGTTAAAAAAAAAAAAAGGCTATATGCACAACGATTAACATTTACTTACTTAATTTACTTACACATGTCACAGAACATTTTTTTATCAAGCAGATAAACCTATGTAGTCATTTAAAATAATCATGAACACAGGATCTATGAAAAGAAAAAAATGAATGAAAAGATTTATATCTACACTTACATATTATAACCAGGTAAAAAATTGTCAAGTAATGGGATTCTGGATCAGTGGTGTGAATAATCTTATGTAACTTTTGAAATGAATAGCATGTGGTTCTTCTACAAAGAAAAATTAATAAATGTTTTATTTTATTATTTTGAAGCAGCTGAGTGAAAAGGTTTGAGCCTTTTGGTGTAAATGTCTTCTGCAGACTACCCTCTTAATTATTGCTCAGACAATAAGTTGTCCGCTGTTATGGCCAAAAAAGGGGGAAATAATGAAGGGCCAGATGGATAATCTACAACTGAATTCAGTTAACTATTCCTAAAAACAGCAAATCATATTTTAAAATAGAACATCAAGCTAGCTTTCTCAAAATATATACTTGGAGTTTTAAATAATTACTTCTATAAAGTATATAATATAGGGGTGGGCAATTTAAAGTTGTTCATATGGAAAATACAATAATTAATAAATAATACGAGAATAAACTCCGTGTTTCGTGTACTCACAACTGTAAACCTACTTTTGCCAACCCCTGTACAATCTAAACAAAAAACAGATTAAGTATTACCTTGGAAAGTCCAGCTCTCTCCTTGGCAAGCTTTTGTTTCTTTCTTCCTGCAAGAAATGAAGTATTTTCATTTTATCATTATTAGAATGAGAATCAAAAGAAATCTAAATGCTGTGGCAGTCATTCATTCTATTTCCAAAACATTACCAACTCTTGGGCTCTCTGCTTCTCAGGTCTCCTTGTGATTTGTCAGGGTCATATAAATAGTTCTGGTCAAGGAGCTTTGGGCAACGTGACATTTCTGGGCAGGAGCCTTTTCCTTCCTCCTGGACACCAAGATCAACCATTTATAGGATAGAGGCAGCTCTAACAGCTGGGTCTCTCGAGTAATTACAAGTAGAGCAAGCCCTCCCTCCCAGCATACAAAGGACATGAAACATGAGCAAGAATTAAGCCACCACTGTTAGGGAGTTTCATTACTGAAATATAACAGATACTATTTACTGAATGTTGAACACTGGCTGGTATTCTTTTTTTTTAAATCCTCACCCGAGGACATTTTTTCCATTGCTTTTCAGAGAGTGGGAGGAAGGGAGAGATGGGGGGAAAGGGGGAAGACNACCTTCTTTCACAATTTCCTAAAGGTTGAATAAGACTTGATGAAGTAAAGAAGGGGAAGACCAGCCAAGGCATGGAAGCCAAAGACACTGGGATAAGTTCAGAAAAAGTCAATATAATAGATAATAAAGCACTTGATGGGAGGGAGAGGCAGATGCTAGATTAGGGAGGTAAGTAGACAAAGACCAAGTCCTGGAGAGCCTTGTATGCACTGGTAAGAAATTTAGACTTTAACTATAGCCTATACTTCTCAAGCTTCAAATTGCGTCACACTCACTTGGGAAGTATGTAAAAATGCAGACTGGCTCAAGAACGTGCAGTGTGTTTTTTAAATCTCACCCAAGGATATGTTCACTGATTCTAAGAGAGAGAGAGAAAGAAGGAGGGAGACAGAAAGGAACATTGATGTGAGAGAGACACATCGATTGGCTGCCTCCTACATAATGCCCAAGCTGGGGACTGAGCCTGCAACCAAGGTTTATGCCCTTGGCCAGAATCAAAGCCAGGACCCTTGAGTCCTTAGGCCAACGCTTTAACCACTGAGCCAAACCAGCTACGGCTGGTTGGCATTTCTTAAGGGGAAGGTGGGGGGAGATCAGCATTTGAGAGTTTTCTTAAAAACAAAAAACCCCCAAAATAATAAACATAGTGTTTATGCATTTGACCAAAAAAAGAGGGAAGGGGAACAGTGCTCAGAAATACACTGCTAAATTCTTAATTCAACTACTGCTGGCTAGTTAAGGAAAAAAACCTCTGCCTCCAGTCTCTAAGTTGTTTTGTCTTATTTTTGCTATGAAACAGCAATGCTACACATCTCAGGAGTAAGAGATGTTTAAAATCTTGCCCAGCTGGTGTAATCAGTGGTTGAGAATCAATCCATGAACCAGGAGGTCAGGGTTCAATTCCCAGTCAGGGCACATGCCTGGGTTGAGGGCTCGATTCCCAGTATGGTGCCTGCAGGAGGCAGCCAATGACTCATCACTAATGTTTCTCTCTCCTTCTCTCCCTCCTCTCTCCGAAATCAATAAAAAAACATATTTAAAATCTTACTTGTCACTTAGTCAACCTTTCAAACCAAACAACAGGGCACTAACAGTGTTTAAATTGCCAACTGTATACCCCATGTGAAGGTGTTGGCACAGAGAAACACAGGCTGTGCTTACATGGCAGTTCTTCACTTACTAGCAGTACGACCTTGGGCACGCTAAGAATAGTATCTGCGTTAGAGCTGTGAGGATGAAATGAGTCAATGTATGTAAAGTATTTTTTAACAGTGCCTGGTTTACAACATGACATATAAGCATTTGTTATTAATATAGTTCAATACCAACTCCTTCGCTAAGGAGCTGTGCTGTGCTAAAATGCCTAGTCACTAAAAACTATCAGAGAATAACCATGTGGCACAGCTAAGAAAGGTAAGGCTCTAATACTTATTACTTGGACGATGTCGGGCAAATAAGGAACTCTCCAAAGACAGGGGACACTTTCACCACTGTGAGAAACGAAGCCACAATAAAACAAACGTCTTCCGCAAACCCAAGCCCCGATGCATTTTCTTATCCAACCTTACAAAATAGCTTTAAGCACACCACTATCTCTTGCCAACCCTAGCCCTATAAAGCAAAGTGCTACTACTCTGAGGCTTAGTACAATTCTGGGAGTTTCAACAGAAAAATATAGGTTACAGTTGATCTTACATATTAATTTGAAGACCACCTATTTTTTCTAACAAACTACCTTTCCTAGGTATTCATCACTCAGCACTAATTGTGGGGGGAAAAGAACATGTAACATATTCCACCCTCAATTTGCTTAATGGTTTTGTCTGGCCCTCTTCAGGCAAAAAATAACAAATGATACCAGAGTCTACTAACTAATTCCTAAATATCATGGCACAGACTAGTGCTGCAAGGAGGGCACTAAGACTAAAAGAGAAATGGAGGACTTCAAGAGAAAACTGGCACGAGGACAAGGAACACTTGGGTGTTAGGTAAGCACTCCATAAGTTTTAGATGTCCTGACGCTAAATTATATTAATAAGCTTATTTAATTCTCACAGTAAAACTAAGACATGTGCTATTACTATCACCATTTACAGACTGAGTGGTGGGGTGGGAACTCAAACGAAGGCAACCCGATTTCGGAGCATGGGTCCTCCACTCTGCACTGCCTCTAAATGCCGCAGAAGTGCAGTCCCACACAACTAAAAGGCACCTCAGAAACGAGCATGGCGAGTGTGTGGAATAAACAAAGAAATACAGTGTGCTCAGGCAGAATTTATGTAAACTGACAAATGGTGATAAAATCCAGTGGAGAGAAACTCAGTTTCCATTACTATCCAACTTTATAGTTCTTTTTACGGGGTGGAGGGGAGTGTGCTGTTGTTGCTGAATGTTGACTAATCACCAACTTTAAAGGTTGCTTAATTACTTTAAATTTCTAGCAATATGATTAAAATTCTAGCCCTGGCCAGGTTCAGCTGGTTAGAGTGTAGTCCCGATGCGCCAAGGTTTTGAGTTTGACAGCCGATCAGGGGACAAACAAGAAGCAACCTCAGCGAGAGCATGGAGAGGCGGAGCAACAAATCAATGTTTCTCTCTCCCTTCCTTTTTCTAACATCAATTTAAAAAAAGATTAAAATTCTGGCTTTAGTTTTATAAGATAACTGCTACATTAACTTATTTTCAGATATAGTATCGTATAGTACCTCTATGACAAAGTGACAGATGGTAACAGACTGTCAAACCAATCAGTAAAATCAGGCCTTGACTCAGTTATTTGCTAGACTTAAGTCCCAAGGGCTATATTGTGTGAACCTAACAAGTTAAAACAGTCCACTTTAAAAAATACACATAAAAGCCCTGACTGATGTGGCTCAGTTGGTTGAACGTCCCCTGCACCAAAGGCCAACAGTTTGATTCCCAGTCAGGGTGTGTATGGGAGGCAGGCAATCAATGTTTCTCTCATGTCGATATTTCTGTTTCTCTCTCCTCTTTTCTCTAAAATCAATAAAAACATATTTAAAAAAAATAAATACACATAAAATTTACAGTGTCCCAACAAAATGTATACAATTGATGTTTCTTTTCAGATTTAACCCATTGGAATTAATAATTATTCAAAGTGTGGGTACATTGTTTTGGAATACTCTGTATAAGCTTACAAAAAGTTCCAAATCTAAGTAATTCATATAGCATTCATTTAAATAAGATTACTGAATATATTTTAAAATAACGAATAATTTTATATAGTACTGTATAAGTAAAACACACCTGTAGTTGGCACTATAATTTGGAAGTAAATTTTCACTTATTAATGATTAGTTGAATTAATAAAAATGCTTTAACGGGCCTCATAATCTGCTCTTGCTAATGAGACCAAAAAAAAAAAGTAAGTCAGTTAGAATCCCAGATCTAACTTCAAACCTTATTTTAAACAACTTAAGCCACTTTTCCTTAAAAAATAAAAATAAATTAGGAAAGTTAACAAGCCAAAATGACTCCTTTGAGAAATTGCAGATGTAAATATTCTATTGGAAATTTGACTAGAAAACTCAAAATCAACTAAACTGAAATCAATTTAATTCCACAAACGCAAGACACCCTCAAGTTAAAACCAGCCAACCAAACAATTTATTTTTTTTATCCTCACCAGAGGATATGTTTACTGATTTTAGAGAGAGGGAGGGGGAGAGAGACATCAATGTGAGAAACACTGACCATGTGGTTCCTGTACTCACCCAGGTCAGGGGATCCAACCCACAACATAGGCATGTGCCCTGACAGGGAATCAAAACCCCAACCTTTTGGTGTATGGGACGCTCCAACCAACCCAGCCACTAGGCCAGGTCACAATCAATTACCTTTAATCAGAGTACAAAACTACTCTGAATTAAGGCTTAAAATTTTTTTAAAATATGTTTTTATTGATTTTAGAGAGAGGGAGAGAAACAAACACCAATGAGAGAAACATCAATCTGCCTCCTGCAGGCTCCCTACTGGGGATGGACCCTGCACGTGCCCTGACCTGGAAATCAACCAGCGACCTCAAAGCTCAACTAACTGAGCCACACCAGCCAGGGCACGAATAAAGTTTTAATTGCTAAAGGAAATATCAAATAAATGATATTCATAAACAATCTTCAGCATTCATTAATAACTATGTGCTGGAGACTGTACTAAACTCTACCTTTATTATAGCATTTTACAAAAGTGAAACTGAAACTTGAAGTCAGTTGCCCAAGGTTACTCAGCTAATAATTCAAGCCTGACCACATTAGGCTACTGGCTCAAGTGAGAAAGTAAGTTAATGAATTAAAAACAGAAAAAGAATTTTGAAAAAATAAACAAGAAACAGATTTCTTAGTCTGTCTAAAATACTTGTTATAATTTCCTCAACCAAAAACTAGTTTTCTCAAGGTTTTTGACAATACGATTGCAGCGTTTCCAAAGGAAGAAAGGGTTAACCCATTCTTTACAGAGCTATGCATCTGCAACTACTTTTGAAATGATAGGAAACTGATCTAAATTCCAACAGTTACACTTAAGGCAAGCATTAATGGAGGGATCTTCCCTGGGTCAGGGATGGTGGCAGACACTTCAAACATCTTACTTAAGCTTCACAAAACCAACCAGAGGCAGGTGGCATTACCTGATTTTTACAAACTAAGAAAATTAAGATTCAAAAATCTCAAGATCTGAATCTTGCTAATCTTGCTCAAGATCTGATGCTGCTAATCTGTGATTAAACTGGGCCTGGAAACTGTCAAATCCAAAATAACATTCTGACAATGTAAGAAACATTCAAACCTGTAGAAAATGTTTGTGAGTTTATTTGAGCCAAACTGACAACCGCTGGGAAGTAAAATCTGAATGATTGAGAAAGTGCTCCAAAGAATGGCAGTTTTGCATCTTATTTTATACATTTCAATAAAAAGACCTAAGTGGGTTATATGAAATCCATGATGATAGATTAGGGAGGGGGGAGAGCAAAGGGGGGGGCACCTCTGGGACTAAATAAAAAAGTAAAACGACAGACACATACTTCTGTCATATAGGTGAATACAGGGTAGTTAACAGTCAACAATTAACGAAATAAACAATGAGGGGATCTTTGGTCTCCCCAGAGCTGTGCCTGTTTTGAGAGGTCCGGAAAAAATGAAATTACTTTGTTTTTGCAAAGGCATGTTTAGGCTTGTTTTATCAGGTATGTTATCCCAGGTGTAAAAAGCCAACAGGCTAGTTAAGGTGGAGATTGACCTTTGTAAGGGAAAAATACTGCCTTAGGCCATGACTACCTGCCAGGAACTGCTTTCAGGTAAAAAGTTTTCATTTTAGCTGGGCTGGTGTGGGCCCATGGATAAGCGTCGACCCATGAACCAGGAGGACACTGGTTCCATCCCCGTCAGGGCACATGCTGGGGGTTGCAGGCTCAATTCCCAGTAGGGGGCGTGCAGGAGGCAGCCGATTACTGTTTCTCTCTCATTAATGTATCTAACTCTCTATATCCCTCTCCCTTCCTCTCTCTAAATAAATATGAGATCAGCATGATCCAATATGGTAGTCAACTAGGCACGTGTGCCTTATCAGACACTAAAGAAACAAAGATATAGGAGAATCACTTCTTCGTGCTTTCTGGGCTTCAATAACTTAAACATCAATTTTAACTTCAGAAACTGAGCAACCTAGAGAAGTTTCAAACCTTTTCTTATTCCAACAAATTTGCTCTTCTACTGCTGCAAACGAGCATGCCTCGGATAGGCAAAGATCCGAATGGTTTTGGTGGCACCATTTCCCTCCCGCCAGTCTCCTCTTAAAAGATGTCGCAGGTATGAAATGAGGCTGAGCGACGGGAGGCGCGCAGCCCTTTGGACTCCTGCCGTTCCTGTGGCATTCACTCGTATCCTGGGAGCACGCGCAGCGCGCCAGGAGGGTTTAAGAATGCGCCGCCGACGCGCAAATTCCACGTTCCAGTCAGAACAGAGGTTTAAAAAGGTGAACGCGAAAGAAGAAACCCAAGCCCCACGCCAACACACATCCTAAACTATCACACAAACAAGAATGTCTTTACACGACCGAAGTAGGAAAAACAAAATGGGAAAATCGTTCTCGTTCCTCCAAAATGGAGGGATCGCGCGGGGCGCGCCAGCGCGGCTCCTCTTTCAGGTGGAGGCTCGCGGCCCCAGGCCCTTCCCACGCGGCCGCCGCCGCCCAGACCCA